TTGGCTTAGGCATTGGACCTAACTGACTATATCTGACTCCAACCCGTCCGCTTGAAGTCCGGGAAGGGTTAACCACCAGTAGGGGGAGTCCTGCTGATGCACATCAACTAGGAACTCCCCCGGGGTCACCGTTAGGGGGCGTGCCTTAGGCCTTCACCTCCCCAGGCTTCGGACGGAGCCATGCCTCCTGGAATCCTTTACCGGACTAACCTTCAATATGGGGGGCAGGTGATGGCGCTACCTCCCCTCTTCCATCTACAGAGCAATACCAATGCCTAACCGCCAATACCCAGAAAGTTGTGACGATTTGCTATCAGGTACTGTATTTTTCGCCCTATAGGATGCACTTTTTCCCCTCCAAAAATGAAGGGGAAATGTGTGTGCGTCCTATGGGGCGAATGCAGGCTTTCGCTGAAGCCTGGAGAGCGAGAGGTGTCGGTGCGCACCGACACCTCTCGCTCTCCAGGCTTCAGGAAGCTATCCGCAAGCCTTGGGAGCCCAGCGAGAGTGCCCTCCGGGCTCGCAAGTCTTGCGGGCAGCAACCTGCATCCCGAAGCACGGGGCGCACTCCGGAGCGCGCCCTGTGCTTTGCACAAATGTCTGCAAGCTGGGCTCGCAAGGCTTGCGGGCAACAGCCTGTTCTGGGGGCTGGGGACGGGGGAAGCTCAGGCTTCCCCCACCCCCAGCCCCGCAAGCAAGCTCTGGGAGCGACGGTGAGGTTGCGCAACCTCGCCATCGCTCCTAGACCCGTTCTGGGGGCTGGGGTCGGGGGAAGCTCAGGCTTCCCCCACCCCCAGACCCGCAAGCCCCGAGGCTAAAAACGAAGCCAGGACAGCTAGCGGGATCCACCCCACTCACTGTCATGGCTTCTTTGCTCTTTGGGGCTCGGGGGGGGGGAAATAATTTTTTTTTCTTTATCCCCCCCCCAAAAAATAAGTGTGCCCTATGGGCCGGTGCGCCCTATAGGGCGAAAAATACGGTAGGCGAAAACCAAGTGGCTGGTGCTAATTTGCCAAGTGGAAAAATTCCTACCAGGCCCCTCAATGGCGACCAACCAAGGTCCATAGCAAGGTCAAGGAATGGAAACCTTAAGGGGCAGGGAGGGTGGGAAACAGGAACAGCTGGTAGGTGGGAAAAGAGGGAAATCCCCGGCCGCGCCTGCGTTTAAATCGGGCAGGCCATGCCCCCAAAGCCAACCTCTCCATTCTGAAGGAAATCACTGCTCACTGGAAGGACAGATCCTGAAGCTGAGGCTCCAAGACTTTGGCCACCTCATGAGAAGAGAAGACTCCCTGGAAAAGACCCTGATGTTGGGAAAGATGGAGGGCACAAGGAGAAGGGGACGACAGAGGACGAGATGGTGGGACAGTGTTCTCGAAGCTACCAGCATGAGTTTGACCAAACTGCGGGAGGCAGTGGAAGACAGGAGGGCCTGGCGTGCTCTGGTCCAGGGGGTCACGAAGAGGCGGACATGACTAAACAAATAAACAACAACAACAAATTGCTTTAACAAATAACAGCTCTGTATATTAAGGAGGTCCCACCCTTTTTGGACTTGCTCATCTTTTGGAGAGTGATCCTACTGAGCCATTATTGCTAGCAATAAACACCCTCTGTTTTCTCACCCCAGCGTGGAGATTTCCTTTCCAGCCAGCCACAACCTCGTAGGGTGTACATGTGAGGAAAGCAGGTTGCATTTGAATTTACTTTACATGCTTTGACTAGATCAGGGGTCAGCAACCTTTTTCAGCTGTGGGCCGGTCCATTGTCCCTCAGACCTTGTGGGGGGGCTGGACTATATTTTGAAAAAAATATATGAATGGATTCCTGTGCCCCACAAATAACCCAGAGATGCATTTTAAATAAAAGGACACATTCTACTCATGTAAAAACACACTGATTCCCGAACCGTCAGGAGGCTGGATTTAGAAGGCGATTGGGCCGGATCCAGCCCCCGGGCCTTAGTTTGCCTACCCATGGACTGGACTAGATAGTCCGCTACCATCTTCTAATAATAAATTTGATGCATGCCGCATCACGACAGGTTGGGGGCAGCTGGAATCCTGCCCCTTCTTTCTGCCAGCGGCATTTAATCAGTTGGACAAACTAATGCGTTTTTGCCAAAATGGCTTTTGAGGATTTCCGTTCTCTGATTTTCATGCTGCATTTCTGTAGCGTCAGATGAATTTTCTATGGGCAGAGACGAGGAGTCAGAGCTTCAGACACTTTCTCTGTGTGGGAAGTGCCGTTATTTTATTCCCGTGCAAGAAGCCGATTTGGTTTTGCTTTCAGATGAAAGGAGGGAACTGACAGCGGTTGGCAGGTGAGAGATCAAGTGGGCCTCATCCTGGGCAGTGCCAGCTTTGTATTTCCAGCAGAAATGACAGAAAAAGGCGTTGAAGTGATGGGGCTTGCGGAGCATCAGGGAGGTAGGGAAAATTGTAAGGGCCTCCACTGTGGACTGGGAAAATCTGGAAAGGAGAGAGATGGAGAAGCTCATCCACTCTTGGCTTTGATCCTGGGATGCTTTAACTTCCTTGGCCAGGTGAGGGTGCTGAAAACAGGCTAGAGAGACTCCCTTTCAGGCATCCACAGCAGCTAGTTGGGCCAGGCTGTTTCCTGGTGGCCCTGTGCAAGGAAATCACATACCCCCCAACATTCCTCCAATGAGAAACAGGGACGTCCCATTCCATAATGATTACTGTTTATACCCCGCACATCTGAATGGGTTGCCCCTGCCACTCTGGGCAGTTTCCAACTTATATAAAAACATAATAAAACCTTAAACCTTAAAAAAAAACACCCATTCCCTATACAGGATTGCCTTCAGACAGCTCAGGGGTCGGATAGCTCCATACCCTCCAACATTTCTCTGATGAAAATAGGGATGTCCTAAGGAAAAGTAGAAGGGATGCGGGTGGCGCTGTGGGTTAAACCACAGAGCCTAGGACTTGCCGATCAGAAGGTTGGCGGTTCGAATCCCCGCGATGGAGTGAGCTCCCGTTGCTCGGTCCCTGCTCCTGCCAACCTAGCAGTTCGAGAGCACGTCAAAGTGCAAGTAGATAAATAGGTACGGCTCCGGCGGGAAGGTAAATGGCGTTTCTGTGAGCTGCTCTGGTTCACCAGAAGCGGCTTAGTCCTGCTGGCCACATGACCTGGGAGCTGTACGCCGGCTCCCTCAGCCAATAAAGCGAGATGAGTGCCGCAACCCCAGTCGGCCACGACTGGACCTAATGGTCAGGGGTCCCTTTACCTTTACCTTAAGGAAAAGTGGGACATTCTGGGATCAGAAACTGGGACAACTTTTCTAAATCAGGGATGTCCCTGGAAAATAGGGACACTTAAAGGTAAAGGTAAAGGTACCCCTGCCCGACACTTAAAGGTAAAGGTAAAGGTACCCCTGCCCGTACGGGCCAGTCTTGACAGACTCTAGGGTTGTGCGCTCATCTCACTCTATAGGCCAGGAGCCAGCGCTGTCCGCAGACACTTCCGGGTCACGTAGCCAGCGTGACAAAGCTGCATCTGGCGAGCCAGAGCCGCACACGGAAACGCCGTTTACCTTCCCGCTAGTAAGCGGTCCCTATTTATCTACTTGCACCCGGGGGTGCTTTCGAACTGCTAGGTTGGCAGGCGCTGGGACCGAGCAGCGGGAGCGCACCCCGCCGCGGGGATTCGAACCGGCGACCATGCGATCGGCAAGTCCTAGGTGCTGAGGTTTTACCCACAGCACCACCCGCGTCCGCAGACACTTGGAGGGTCTGAAATCGTCCTGTTGGAAGTAACTCTCTGTTTTGCAAATAAAAAGGAAACAGCTTTTTGGTGTGTCTCCCACCCCCCACTGCTCCGTGGCCAGAAAGGAGAGACGGGATAAGCTCTTTCCACCAAGCATATCAGCTTTGGGCTTATTGACACTGACCTCTGCTTCACATTTGGGCTTTCCAGGTCCATGTCTTGGAATGACAGAGACCAAAGGGGAGGAACTGCACGGCAGAGAAGAAGGACAAGGAGTTGGGGAGGGGCAGCTATTAGAGCTGGCTGGGGAACTTAGAATGGCTCCATCTGCAATGCTGACCTGCTGCGAGGAGCAAGCTGCTTTGGGGTGACAATGCGGTGAAATCTGCAGATCCTTCATCTCAACTCACGGCAAATATGTCCCATTAAACCATAATTCTTAAGGACACTGCAGCCTCCTCTATGTCTCAAATCTCAATGTAAACATGGCCCTGGGTGAGCGGTTAGAACCCTCCAGAGTCTCCTGCACTGCTATGCAGAGACTGGGTGTGTGTGTGCAACTTTTTAAATGTTATCTTCCTTAGTGGGTCATTGAAATATACAGTGGTACCTCGGGTTAAGTACTTAATTCGTTCCGGAGGTCCGTTCTTAACCGGAAACTGTTCTTAACCTGAAGAACCACTTTAGCTAATGGGGCCTCCTGCTGCTGCCGCGCCACCAGAGCACGATTTCTGTTCTCATCATGAAGCAAAGTTCTTAACCTGAAGCACTATTTCTGGGTTAGCGGAGTCTGTAACCTGAAGCGTATGTAACCTGAAACGTATGTATCCCGAGGTACCACTGTACTCAGAGTTGAGTGTGGATTTCATGCTCTTTATTCAGCTCATAGTAGTGAGGAATGGAATCCCCCCCGAAATGTCTGCTTTTTATACATTTTTATACATTATTTACACAATGGGCCCCACGTGATTGGCTACTTCCGGGATTCTCCTGTAGGCTAATCAGGTTGCGGATTCACTTCCACCTGGAGTTGGATTGGGTGGCTCCTGCGGACCAATCAGACTCCTGCATTTTGGATCCTATTCAACTCAGTACATAACAGTCATGCAGACCACTGTTCTGAATAATGTTTTTTAGATGGCATCAGGGTGTGTTTATGGAACCAAGGGGTGGGTGGGGGTCCCCAAATGATTGGGGACTGTAGTTGTGGGGGGTCTGTTTCAAAGAATTAGGAGAAGGAGGGGGACAAAGTATGCTGGAGACTTGTAGTGGTTTGTTTTATCTGTTTATTTACACATATACAGGCAGGGGAAATAGCAGGCAAGTAGGGACTCGGGCAACCCCAAAAGCAGCATCGATTCCTAAGAATTGCTCCCAAAACGTCCCTCATTACATGCCACCAATTCTGAGTGTTGTGCTGCTCTTGTCCTGTTTTCCAGAAGAGAAAACTTCCCTGCACCTGTGGGATGCCCGGTGCCCGATTTATGTATAGGCTAATTGGCTGAAGAACTTTTGCACTTTGCAATCTGTACGTGAGACAAAGCCATAGGCTTACAGCAGAGCCCTCTCTGTCTCATACAGACCTTGATCAAGGAAAAATTCAGATGGCCTTTCCTAATGTGGAAGCAACCTAGCGGCTATTTCTTAGCTTTATGGTCACTAACTGCTCAGGAGAGAGGAGTTTTCCAAGACTCAAAAGAATTAAAAATGAATTAAGGGCCACGATGTCTCAAGAGAGGTTGTCCGCACTGAGCTTTCTGTACATTGAAACTTGAATAAATTTTGATGACGTTTTCTGATGTCCTTTAGAGGAGATAGTGTGAATTGCAGAATTTTAAATACTCGTCATCACCCTTGGCTTCACACAGTTTTGTCCATAACACTCTTCCATTTTCTTCTAGTCGTGAGGGTGGGGGATTGGGAGGGGCCTAACAAGTGGAGTAGCCGAGGGCCGCTCTCCATCTAAATCTGGCCCTGGGGATGGCATCCGGCCAAACAGTGCCATGCACATTCAGACCCCCACAAGCAGGAGAGGGTGTGCTGTGGAAGGGGAGCCCTGAAATCAGCTGATGAGTCACACCTCCAAGGCTGCATCAAACAGCCACATTTCTTGGGCTATGGAATCATTGGAAGGGGGCAGCGGGTCATCTAGTCCAACCCCCTGCCATTTGACCACTGAAGTTAAATTATGGGTTTTACCAGGACCCGCTGCATTCACCATGGGCACGATTCTCAAAACAAACTAACAGACATTTGTTAGGGATGAGAGATTGTCCTGAACATGGTTGGTGGAAACAGCCAAAGTCCTTGGGACAGAATCACAGCCTCTGGAGACCCTTTCGGGCATGTGGGGCAGCCCCATAAGTTACAAAGGAGGTGAGCCAAGTCCTCTCAGGATCTCCTCTTCCTCACACTCTGGTGTCCATGGCGTACATTTTGGCAGTAGTGGTCTGGGAGGCTGGGCGGCACAGGCTGCTCATCCCAGGAGGGGAATAAGTCTTCCGCAACGAACTACTTGCACCAACATCTGTAGCCCCGGAAAGGGAGAGAAACACACAAAAATGCTGCTGGTTAGAAGGGGGGGCTGGAATCACCGCAGAATTGCACAGATGGAAGGGAACCCCCAAAGGCCATCCAATCCAGCCCCCTGCTACACAGAAATCACAGCTGAAGGATCCCTGACTGTTTATCTTGATTTCAGGAAGCTTTTGGCAATGTGTCCCATGACATTCTTGCAGAGAAGCTGGTAAAATGTAGATGGGCAAAGTTACTGATAGCTGGTTGACTGACCAAACCCAAAGGCAAACAAAACAAAACAAAACAAAACAAAACAAAACAAAACAAAACAAAACAAAACAAAACAAAACAAATTCTTCCAGTAGCACCTTAGGCTACTGGAAGGATTTTTTAAATTATTTTGTTTTGTTTTGTTTTGTTTTGTTTTGTTTTGTTTTGTTTCAACTACGGCAGACCAACACGGCTATCTACCTGTAACCCAAACCCAAAGAGTGCTCACAAATTTTTAAAAAGATTGGCAAACATTTCTTGACTACATGGGAAATAATTGTGTGCAGCTAAAAACGCTGACAGCATTAAGATAAATTCAACAGGGTAAATTAGTTCTGATGGATGCAATAATGGAATACTGATTTTTGTAAAATATGCAAGGATTTAAGGTATGTAAAATGAACCATGGAAAGAGAAGAAGGGAAGAACCTTGATATCTTAAGGATGTAGAATGAGTATTGTAAATTGTAAAACGAAAATACACACACACAAACAACAACAACGAGTGCTCACTAATGGTTCCTCATCACCCTGGAAAAAAGTGACAAGTGGGCAGGACTCGAACCAATGGATTCAAGTTACAAGAAAGGAGAGTCCAACTAAACATCAAGAATAATTTTCTGATGCCAAGAGCTGTTTGACAGTGGAATGGGCTCCATCAGAAGGTGGTAGACTCTCCTTCCTTGGAGGTTTTTAAGCAGAGGTTGAATGGCCACATGCTTTAGCTGAGATTCCTGCATTTTGAGAGTTGGAACAGAAGATCCTTGGGGTCCCTCCCAGCTCTGCAATTTGATGGTTCTACTGCTGGATGGTTATCCAACCTCTGCTTAAAAACCTCCAAGGAAGGAGAAGCCACCATCTTCCGAGGTCATAGAATTGTAGGGTCGGACAGGACCCCCAAAGGCCATCTGGACAACACCCAGCAATGCATCGCTGCATCAGTCTTCATCCTTTTGATTCTAGCTGCTTGCTGGAATTCAGAATATCCAGGCCTCTTAGGGGGAAGCTGGAAGCTGGGCCATGTGGTGGGGAGAGATACAGTAGATGATCTATTCACTAAACTCAGGAACAGGAGAAGCAGCCTTATTCTGAGCCAGAACATCTAGCTCAGTCTTGTCCACCATGACTTGGTCCACAATGACAACAGCTTTCCAGGATTTCAGACAAGGCAAGCATTTTATGGGCACATTTTAGGGAACAGTGACTTGAAGGCACAGAGGTGTGATTTGGGATGGCCTAGAACGTTTTGCATGTCAGACTCCTCCACCCCCAGCTCTTACCTCTGAAGAGATACATGCAGCAGGTTAGCAAGGAGCCAGATAAGAAGCAGCCCAGAGACCCGCTCAGCCCCAGCCAACAGGACCACCCAAATTTGTACTGGATGCCCACAAAGACGTTATGCAAAACCAGAGTCGAGCGCTCCACGTAGACGCCGATGGCGTACCAGACGGATCCAATGAGCCCAGGGACACCTGCAAGAAACAGAGCAAGCACCAGATGTTACCTGCCTGGTTTGGGATATTATCCTCCGCTGAGCCACAGGTGACCCTCCTCTGGGGTCTTTGAAACTGAAAATGAGAGGTGCCTGCCTGCAGATTTGTGAAAAAGCAAGCAGGAAGAAGGAGTAGGAGTAGGAGGAGATGACTGAAGAGCATCTGTTGTGCTTGTTTATTATTATTAACTTCAGAAATGCCTTGTCTACAGGTCAAATAGACACCCTTCCCCATGTTTTGAGCAAAAGGAAATTGTGTCTTTGACATGAACGTGTTTATACCATTAGCAACAACCAGCCCCACAAAATTCTCCAATCTCTGCCTCTCCGTGTGAGAAAGAAATTATTTATCCCAATGACAATGCTGCAATCAACTTGCACTTCCCTTACTATGTGGTTCCCTAGGTTGGATGGGTGGGAGATCGCCTGCTCTTGATGGGGTTACGTTTCCTCTGAAGGAACAGGTTCATAGATTGGGGGTCCTCCTGGATCCTTTGCTGTTGCTCAAGGCTCAGGTGGCCTCAGTGGCCCAGAGTGACTTCCACCAGTTTTGGCTGGTGGCCCATCTACTTCCCTATCTGGACAGGGAGAGCCTAACTACTGTTCTCTATACTCTGGTAACCTGAAGGTTAGATTACTGCAATGCGTTATACGTGGGGCTGCCTCTGAAGACGGGTCAGAAACTTCAGCTGGTACAGAATTCGCAGGGCCAATGTAACCTTGAATTTCTCAACCACAATACCCAGCCACCCTGCAGTGTGGATATCTGCAAAGCATGGTTTTATTTGCATGGGCAGGAAATTCCCCCCACCCCTGTAATAATTGTAATAATATATTTTTTTGTACCGCGCCCATCTGACTGGGTTGCCCCAGCCACTCTGGTTCCACGGTCTCTTAAAATGCATTAAACTAAATGACAGGAGCAACAGGAACCCAGAATACATGGCAGTGAGTGCAGAAGTCATTCAGCACCGAGAGAGAGAGAGAGAGAGAGAGAGAGAGAGAGAGAGAGAGAGGGGGAGGGAGGAGGAAAGGACAGGTTTCTAGATTATGTGGCTTTGAAGAGATTAGGAAAAGCACCTAGGAAATGCCAGATGAAATTCTATAGAACAGTATGATGGGCAGGATGCTGATCCCCCCCCCCCCCAAAAAAAAAGACAGGAAGTTTCTGCAAAGGTGGTTCGTTTGCATAATTTATCCAGGTCACAGATTGCAGTTTTGCCTCGTGTGGAATTTGAATTCTTTGGCACGGCTGCACCCGCAACCTCCGACCCAGGAGGGCTTCCGTTTAATCCCTGCAGCTCTATGAAAGGTAAAATCCTCTGCTTAATTCGTACCCCTGGGGGATTTCATTCACCACTGCATGCTCTGAATTTGGAGTGGCAGCAGAACCACAGCCTGCAAACCACAGCCTGCAAAACACTCCAGAACGGGGAGGCACAATGACCAGTGTGGGTGCTGCGGTTTTCTTGGGGGAGGTTTTCAGCACTGAAGGGTGCAGGCCCCCCCAGGCATGTCTGGGCATCACTCTGACCATTGCCCCACATTACGCCAGACCTGGAGGATGTTTGGCCCAGAAATATGGAGGCTGGATGCAATTGTTCAAGTTGCACTCTGCACATGGTTATGAGTCAGTGCGTCACTTTTCAAGGTCTGATCCACAGTGCTGAAATGAGGTCCCATTGCTGACTCCTGTGGCCTGGCTCAAAGAAAATCCTTCTCTCTGTCCATGGGACTAAAGAACTCGTGTGTGTTTGCAGGGGTCAGTCTGGATCAGGGCTGGATTTAGGTTTGATGAGGCCCTGAGCTCCTGAAGGTAATGGGGCCCTTTATATGTCCAGCTTTGTCCACAACAAACTGTCGCTGCTTTTTGTGTTGAATATATGCTATATGGTAATAGATGGACCTCATTGGTATCTCGAACCATTGGCACATGTTGCTGTGCAACCAGTCCATGCAGAATGTAGGCACCCTATATATAGAAAGGAGCAAACCAGTGATATTTTAGGGTGCAGGCGGGGCCCAAGACTTACATCAAAGGAGCCTACACAACACAAAACACTGTTGCTGGATGTAGGTTTTATTTTATTAGTTTTTTATCTTATATTTTGGAAATGTACATCCAGGTTTTTTCCCCATTAAACTTTTTGGGACCCCTAAGAGAGTGGGACCCTAAGCTAGAGCTTGTTTAGCTTATACATAAATCCGACACTGGTGCAATGGGGTTGGTTCCTCTACCCCATGCATAGGCAAACTCAGCCCTCCAGATGTTTTGGGACTACAGTTCCCATCATCCCTAGCTAACAGGACCAGTGGTCAGGGATGATGGGAACTGTAGTCCCAAAACATCTGGAGGGCCGAGTTTGCCTATGCCTGCTCTACCCAGTGAGGCTTAGAATCTAATGGAGGATTCTGTTACTGAACTGGTCAGACAAGTTTCTTTTTAGCTGGCCATTTAAGTGTCCTCACCAGAACGCCAAAAGACAGAGCCAGGTTGCAAGAGCTGCAACTAAGTCGGGGGGCTTCCAAGCTAAGGGGTATCGGCTTTCCTCCAACCTCTTCTCTTAGCTTTGTACGTTTCCAAGCACAATTCAAAGTACTGGTGCTGACCTTGAAAGCCCTAAATGGCCTCAGTCCAGTAGACCTGAAGGAGCGTCTCCACCCCCATCGTTCTGCCCAGACACTGAGGTCCAGCTCCAAGGGCCTTCTGGCGGTGCCCTCCTAGTGAGAAGCCAAGTTACAGGGAGCCAGGCAGAGGGCCTTCTCGGTAGTGGCACCCACCCTGCGGAAACCCTCCCACCAGATGTCAAAGAGAAAAATAACTTCCAAACTTTTAGAAGACATCTGAAGGCAGCCCTGTTTAGGGGAGCTTTTAATGTTTAACAGGTTATTGTATTTTAGTGTTCTGTTGGAAGCCGCCCAGAGTGGCTGGGGAAACCCAGCCAGATGGGCGGGGTATAAATAATAAATTATTATTATTGTTGTTATTATTATTAGCTGCTCAGTAGGAAGACAATACCCAGAGGTGTGGTGTATCTGAGCCGAGCTGAAAGCAGGTTGGAAGCTGGAGATACAGAGACCTGCTTGCTCTGTGCTGGATCAAAAGCTGTGACCAACAGAGCAGCGAGATCTGTTGGGGTGCTAATGTCGTTGTGTAGATGTGCTCAATATCTGTAAATAAAACCTAAGCTGAAGAAACCACTGTCTCTACTGACCTTCATTCCAAGGAAACGGATCCCTGGGTGAGTGCCTCTCACTCTTTGGAGATTGGGGTGGCATGGGGCAATACAACAACCGTGGTACCTCAGTTTACGAACTTAATCCATCCCGGAAGTCCGTTCTTAAACCAAAGCCGTTCTTAAACTGAGAAGCGCTTTCCCTAATGAGTCCTCCTGCTGCCGGTGCCCTTCAACCGTTTGGATTCCGTTTTTAGACCGAGGCAAAGTTTGCAAGGGACGTGGGTGGCGCTGTGGGTTAAACAACAGAACCTAGGACTTGCTGATCAGAAGGTTGGTGGTTCGAATCCCCCGCAATGGGGTGAGCTCCCATTGCTCGGTCCCTGCTCCTGCCAACCTAGCAGTTTGAAAGCATGTCAAAAGTGCAAGTAGATAAATAGGTACCGCTCTGGTGGGAAGGTAAACGGCGTTTCCGTGCACGCTCTCGTTTTGCCAGAAGTGGCTTAGTCATGCTGGCCACATGACCCGGAAGCTGTACGCCGGCTCCCTCGGCCAATAAAGCGAGATGAACGCCACAAACCCCAGAGTCGGCCATGACTGGAACCTGATGGTCAGGGGTCCCTTTACCCTTTACTTTTTAAAGTTCTCAAACTTGAACACCTACTTCCGGTTTTGTCGGGGTTCTTATACCGAATAGTTCGTAAACAGGACTGTTCTTAAACCCGAGGTACCACTGAACCTGAGAACCAGACTGAACATTTCAATTAGCAGAATTGACACTATTGCAAGCCTGGGTGTAGCCAGGATTTTTGTTAGGGAGGGGCAGCCAAAGTTTTGGGGGAAATCACAGGTAAAAATACCCCCAAAAGTAGGACATTACGGAGGGCAGGCTTTGTGGGGCAGAACCTCAGTTAATTGAGTATTTTAAATGCTTTTCACTAATTTTTGTAGATCTTCCCCATTGGTTATGGCCAAGGTTGCAGGTGTCACATAATCCCCATTCCAAACTTGTGGAAGCTCAGTTGTTTAGTGTGGCAACACCTACACTTTGGAAACTCCCTGCTTAGAAAGTTGAGGTGAACTTTAACCTATTTCTTCTTCTTTTTCTTTCCCATAGTTTATCCCTTTTTTATTTTGACAATGTAATAATCATAAACAAATAAGAATGAACATATGTACCCCACCCCCGAGACCATTCCACTGTACCTATCCAACTTCTCCAAATTTCAACACCTCTTGCGATGGTATTTAACCTTTTCCCCTTTAACAGCACAAATTCTGCAAACACCCTCCGTAACTCCTCAAAATCATTTCTCCTTCATATTCCCCATCTTACCTTAATGGCACATGTTAATTTATCACTAATAGCTATATTCCACACCTCTTTATACCATTCTTCCATTTTATATTCTGCTTGCCCCTTCCACTTCCTGGCTATAATAATTTGTGCAGCTGTCAATAAATTTGCGAGGAAGTCCTTCACAGCCTGTGGACCTTCCGCCCCACTGTAAATTGATAATAATTTAGCATTATTATCACTTTAACATTTTAACTTTAAACGCCTTCTATCTCCCAGCCCCACCGGACCCAGGTCCCAGCTTTCTGCGGCCAACTACCTCCCGTTAGCAGAGCCAGTCCAGCTATGAAGCAGATTTGGGTTTTGATTCCAGGTTCGTCCGTAAGGAATTTCACACAGTCCAGGCCCAGGAGGAGGAAGGTGAACCCGAAGCCAGCCAGGATGTCAGCTGTGATGAGCATCGCTCGGGTCAGGACCAGTTTCACTGCAAAACAAGAATGAGCCTGGAGGCAGAAGGGAGGGGACTCTGGTGTGGTGCAGTGGTTAGCGTGTCAGAGTAGGACCTGGGAGACCAGGGTTTGAATCCCTCCCTGGCCATACAGCTCACTGGGTGACCTTGAGCTCAGTCGCTGCCTCCAGACTGACCTATCTCACAGGGTTCTTGTAGGGACTAAAGGAGGAGGGTGGGAGAGGGAGCTCCTTAGAGAGGGAGAACGTGATATTTAAATGCAATAAATAAATAAATAAATAAATATAGTTTCAGATCATTATGACATCAGCATAATGATTCCAGAGAAGTGAACAGCATGCAACTCAACTAAATGTGTTTTGTGTTTATACAGCTGTTTATATGATGAATTATACGTGATTTTGATATTATTAAAGTGAAAACCAAATAAAACAAACAATAAAACAAACAAAAACCAAGTTTTTCAGCTTATGGTGACCTGTCCCAGTAAATGCTTTCTCTAAGACCTGTTTCCTTCAGAATTGATCTAGTAATAATAATAATAATAATAATAATAATAACTCACAGCAGACATACCTGGGTGCTCAGCCAAGATGGAGTCATATTCATCGCAGGTTGTTATCCCATCAAAGGCATTGGTGACGCATTCCCACCAAAGGCCGCGGCAGGTAGCGCTCAACTACATGGGAGAAAGTGACCATCATCCTTATTACTATGAGGACCTGCCCCAAGGAGCCTACAGTTTCAGTTAGAGTGGCCTTACGAGCAGGTTGGGCTACATGACCTTTGGGGAACCCCTCCAGCTCTTGACCATTCTATTATTCTGTGTGCCCCAGTCAACAGAGGATGGTTCCTTCTGTGGAGGAGGAAGGGCTGTAGTTTGGGATAATATCCTGTCATTTCCCCACAGTGGGACTCAAGGCAGCAGACAAAAATTAAAACTGCACAAGGGAAAATTCAGAAGGCTGAAAGCCTGTGAAAAATAATAAGTTGTAAAGCAATTAACTCTAACAGAATTAAAGCAATACAAAAACCCCAGATATATTAAAATGCAGAGATTAAAAACAGAACAGCACACTTAAAATGGGGTGAGCAGAAATCCCAGGTACATCTTCAGGTAGGGCTGGAGAAGCTCCGTGCCTGACATCCAGGAGTGCCTCTGCCAGTCTGGGTAGACACTACAGAGCTGGGTGCATCAATGGCCTGACTCTGGTCCAAAAACAAAGCAGCAGCAGCAGCAGAAGTGACAGCCTTGAAGCTGCCAGAGATGGATTGCGTTTCTATTTAAATCCGAGTATGGAAGTTCGAAAGCACGTCAAAGTGCAAGTAGATAAATAGGTACCACTCTGGCGGGAAGGTAAACGGCGTTTCCGTGCGCTGCTCTGGTTCGCCAGAAGCGGCTTAGTCATGCTGGCCACATGCCCTGGAAGCTGTACGCCGGCTCCCTCGGCCAATAAAGCGAGATGAGCGCTGCAACCCCAGAGTCGGTCACACTGGACCTAATGGTCAGGGGCCCCTTTACCTTTACCCTTTATGAAAGTGAGAGCTGGACCATAAAGAAAGGCTGATCGCCAAAGAATGGATGATTTTGAATTCTGGTGCTGGAGGAGACTCTTGAAGAGTCCCATGGACTGCAAGAAGATCAAACGCATCCATTCTGAAGGAAAATCAGCCCTGAGTGCTCACTGGAAGGACAGATCCTGAAGCTGAGGCTTCAAGACTTTGGCCACCTCATGAGAAGAGACGACTCCCTGGAAAAGACCCTGATGTTGGGAAAGTTGGAGGGCGCAAGGAGAAGGGGACGACAGAGGACGAGATGGTGGGACCAGTGGTTTCTTGAAGCTACCAGCATGAGTTTGACCAAACTGCGGGAGGCAGTGGAAGACAGGAGGGCCTGGCGTGCTCTGGTCCAGGGGGTCAACGAAGAGGCGGACATGACTAAACGACTAAACAACAATATCTCTTTCCCCTTTGCCTTGCATAATTTTACACACCTCTGTCATACCCTCCCCCTCGCTCACATTTTATTTCTAAAACTCCCAAAACATTGTTACCTTTCCCCTCTAAAGCCCCCACTCCAGGATGGAGGCTGCACGCATCTCAGCTGGGAAAACAATCTCAGGGCTACTGTTCATGGAAAACAGTCACCTAAAAGAAGCTTGGTTTTGCAACCTGAAACGAGGCGCTGAAATTCACCCCCCAGCGCTGAAACTGGGGGATTTCCCATAATCTTGGAAACATGCAAATTTGGGGGTGGGAAGAAAGAAAAAGTGATCTGGACGGATAGTCTTGTCTGGAGCCCCTCACTTTTCTTTCTTCTTTCTTTCTTTCTTTCTTTCTTTCTTTCTTTCTTTCTTTCTTTCTTTCTTTCTTTCTTCTTTCTTTCCTCCCTCCCTTCCTCCCTCCCTCCCTTCCTTCCTTCCTTCCTTCCTTCCTTCCTTCCTTCCTTCCTTCCTTCCTTCCTTCCTTTTCTCTTCTTTCTCTCTCTCTCTCTCTCTCTCTCTCTCTCTCCCCTTTCTCCTTCTCTTCCTCCCTCTTTGTATCTCCTTCCTTCTTTCCTTCGCGCAAAGCCCCTTCCTCGGCGCTGCAGCGTCTGGCCGCCCTGATCCGACGCCGGCTCCTTCCCAGGGAATACGGCTCATTACCCCCCCCCCCGTCCCCATATTTAGGGATGCAATGACCCGCTTAGGTGGCGAGATCAACTCATTCTGTCAGGTATTAATGCTGCAGGCCCTTCGCCCAGCGCGTTGGTATTCAGACGCAGCGCCGGGACGTGCAAAGCCTGAATGCGCTTAACCCCGAGGGCGCATTAATGAAACACCGAGGAGGAGAGGAGGGGACGCGGTCCAACTGGAGGTGCCTTTGAACCGCGGAGGCAAGGTTAAAAAAACACCAAACCCTTTGCTGTTCACGGTGTCGGATTTCCCAGTTTCCCCTAAGTCTAGAGAGAAGCAGCTTGTGAAACTTGCCATTTCTGGGTTCCCTTTGCAGTCACGGGTGACATTGCCCAGAGGGCACCCACTAAGCGACCCAGAAGTCTTTCAGTAGTCGGGTGGCAGAGCAGCTGCCCTGCATGCAGAAGGCCCCGGGTTCAGTCCGGTGGGACTGGGAGAGGCTCCCTTCCTGACACCCTGGACAGCTGCTGCCAGTCAGCGTAGGATAAACTGGAATCATAGAAGTGTAGACTTGGAAAGGACCCCCAAAGGTCATCTGGCCCAACCCTCCAGTGCAGGAATTTGTTGCTGTTGTTAAATTTGTATGACCTCAGGGCGGTTCACAACATAAAATGTAAGCCAAAAACAAAAAATATTTCTATTATTGTTTGTTTGTTTATTAAATTTGTATGTTGTTGTTGTTTAGTCGTTTAGTCGTGTCTGACTCTTTGTGACCCCCTGGACCAGAGCACGCCAGGCACTCCTGTCTTCCACTGCCTCCTGCAGTTTGGTCAGACTCATGTTTGTAGCTTCGAGAACACTGTCCCACCATCTCGTCCTCTGCCGTCCCCTTCTCCTTGTGCCCTCCATCTTTCCCAACATCAGGGTCTTTTCCAGGGAGTCTTCTCTTCTCATGAGGTGGCCACAGTCTTGGAGCCTCAGCTTCAGGATCTGTCCTTCCAGTGAGCACTCAGGGCTGATTTCCTTCAGAATGGAGAGGTTTGATCTTCTTGCAGTCCATGGGATTCTCAAGAGTCTCCTCCAGCACCAGAATTCAAAAGCATCCATTCTTCAGCGATCAGCCTTCTTGATGGTCCAGCTCTCACTTCCATACATCACTACTGGGAAAACCAGAGCTTTTACTATACGGACCTTTGTTGGCAAGGTGATGTCTCTGCTTTTTAAAATGCCATTTGTACACCGCCCTATAAACATGCAGGTCCCAGGGCAGTTCACAGGATAAAATTACAACATAAAAATGCAAAATACATAAAAAGAAAATGAAAGCAACCCAAGAACCTCCCCAGTACATTTTAAAAGGGCATTGCATGACCATCATAATACGTAATAAAATAAGGCAACTTCCTCTGTGAATTTCCTTGCCTTTTCCCATCTGCTCAAACTTGTTGTTGTTTTTTTTGCTAATGTTTATTAGGAAGTTGTTGATGTTGATGGTGTTGATTATTATGTTTATTAGGAAGTTTATTAGGGACTTGCCTTATCCCAAATCACAGCACTGGTCTGTTTTTCTCAGCCCTGCCTGGAATTCTTTGCCGGGGATAGAAAATGGGATCTTCTGCATGTGAATCGGGCTCCCTGCCCACTGGGCTACAGCCCCGTCCCTTCTTGCAAATCACACTGATGAATTAGGGGTGCTATTTTAACAGATTAAAAGTGGGAGTGGTTAGCATGTCAAGACTAGGACCTGGGAGACCAGGGTTCAAATCTCTGCTCGGTTGCCAAACTCACAGGGTGACCTTGAAGACTCCCACCAGCCAGACTCTCTTCTGAGCTGATCGATGGGGTGTTCTGCTTATATACAGAGCTTAACAACTTTTAAAGGGATGGCAAAGTTCTCACAACCTGGTTAAGAAACTACCTTAGCAGGAAGATCACAGGAAAACAGCATTGCTGGTCAAAAACCTAAAGCATTCCATACTGACCTCTCACGTTTTCTGGGGATCGCCCAGTTGGTAGAGCACAAGACTCTTGTTCTCCAGAGTCTTGGCTTCGAGTCCTACATTGGGTAAAAGATTCCAGCACTGCAGGGAGTTGAACTAGATGACCCCCATGGCCACGTCCAACTCTACAATGCTATGATTCTCCCACCTTCCTGCCAACTCTCTCTTTCTCATTCTAAGGAAGACACAATCCAAAGTCCTTGCAGAAACCAGACCCATACATTCAGCTCCCACACTCACCACCGGTCCTCCTCACTCTGGAAAGCTGCACCTGATGGATCTGAGCCAGCCTTGTGGCCGCTGGAGTCTCCCTCTCCCTCTCTCTTTGCCTTACCTCCAAGGAGTCGTCCGTGTTCACCATCCAACAGTCTGTCCAAGTCGCAGCAATCAGGAAGCCGGCTGAGAAGAAGGCCAAGAAGCAGCCCGTGTATTGGAGAAGGTGCTTCATTTCCTCCAAAATCTACACCCGGTCTTGCTGTGGGTCTGTCCTGATCTCCAGCAAAGTCTCAGCTTTCTTTTGCAAATGATCAACAGGTGATCAACTGGTCCCATAGCTTGAGCAGGCTGGAGCAGAGGGAGGCGGGCCTTATGCCTGGTGCTAAGCAACCAAGACGCAGCAGCCAATCACCTGGATTCAATTAGAGTCCTGCACTGCACAGACCAACACCTGTGCAGGGTCCACAAACCCGTGTGGAAGATTTTGATGGTTTGAGAAAGAATTATAGAATTGCAAAGTTGGAAGGGACCTGAAGGATCATCTAGACCAGAGAAATGCAGAGCAGAAGGTGGTCCTAGCCTAGTCCAAGGACAGAATGAAAGAGGAGCCTCCTGGATCAGACCACTGGCCCATCTAGTCCGGCATCCGGTTCTTACAGTGGCCAACCAGATGCCCCAGTGGGAAACCCGCAAGCAGGATTCAGGCACAAGTGCAAGACTCTCACAGCAACTGGTATTCAGAAGCATCGTTGCCTCCGAGCGTGTGCCTAGAGCAGGGGTCTGCAACCTTTAAGACAAAAAGAGCCACTTGGACCCGTTTCCGAAAAAAACAACAACAACTGGGAGCCGCAAAAACATTGCAACATTTAAAACAAATATAACACTACATATATTGTTTCTGGCCTTAATGCTATATATACAGGATCGTGCAGTCAGCTGTCAATCTCAAGAAAAAAGGACAAATTAATAGCTAATTAAAATATTTAATTTACAACCAGGTAACCAGGTTAATGGGACTTTTGCTCCTGAACCTCAGTGCTCAGTGTCTGCACATCAGGGCTGTAAGACGTCACCTTCATTTTCACACAGGCTTGCAAGCTGTCATCTGTGAGGCGTGATCGGTGCTTGTTTTTAATATAGTTCATGTTGGAGAAGACCTGCTCACATACATATGTGGAAGAGACCACAAGGGCCATCGAGTCCAACCCCCTGCCAAGCAGGAAACACCATCAGAGCACTCCTGACATATGGTTGTCAAGCCTCTGCTTAAAGACCTCCAAATAAGGAGACTCCACCACACTCCTTGGCAGCAATTCACCAAACTTTCACCTGCTTAAGTTTAAAAAGGGGCTTCAAGCAACTAAAAAGGGGCTTCAGGCAACTAACTCCACGTGGAATTCCACGCGACCGCGACTGCATAATCAACGCCACAAAATGCCAAAGAAAATTAACCAGGGCCCCAGTGAACCATAAATCATAATCAGTGCCTGATGTAAATAATAATTAATAATGAGGGCCCAATGTCATCCTCATCATTATAAAAATAATCCCTCTCTTCGTGCCGCCCAGCCTCCCAAGAAAAAAACCCCACTTCAAACGGTCACAAAGCACAAATTCCACGCGACCGCGACTTGCTATGCCCAATAATCAATGCCCCAAAATGCCATAGAAAATTAATCAGGGCCCCAGTGTACCATAAATCATAATCAGTGCCTGATGTAAATAATAATTAATAATGAGGCATTCGTCATTATA